GTCAGACCCGCGACCACCTGTTCAAGGAGTGTAGAACATGGAAAAGGGAGCAAGAGGGGCTCTGGAACACGCTGAGGAAAGAAGGGTTTATGAAGACGCACGCGTTGTCGACAATCTTCGCGGAACCCAGGGCCACTCAGGCGATCCTAAAATTTATCGAAGAAACGCTTGTGGGAAGACCAAAATCAGAGGACGAGGATAGAGCCGAAGAAGAGCGGGTACATGAGGAATGGGGGTGGGAGCAAGAGTATGGAGTGGAGCAGGATATGAGCACATAGTAAAGCAAGAAAAGAAAAGCCGGTGGGTATAGGAGAGTCTAAGTACACTGCAGTTTACCGCAGTGTACAGCTCAAAAGGCTGCCACTGCAAAGGCAGCAAAGTCGGCGAGAAAGTGGTTGAAAACGGATGAAGCAGAGTCTTGTAGAATAGAAGCAGCGTCACGCTGTGGAAAGGGGGTCTGTATGTTACCTCGCGCCATATCCCAAAGGGACGCATGCGCTTAAATGATTACAATCAATCAATCAATCATTATGCTAGCTTAGGCAAGGTTGTGGAGAAAATCGCAGCGCACTTAATATCAGAACACTGCGAAACGGCCAACAGAGAAGGTCTCCACCTCAGTCAAATGGGCAACCGGCGAAGAAGATCGGCGGTAGATGCGGTAGCTATCGCAATGCAGAGAATCCAACAAGGATGGGAGCAGAACATGACAACGGCAATGCTTCTGATGGATGTAAAGGGAGCCTTCGACCACGTTGCGAGAAACCGACTCCTGGCCCGAATGACCCAACTCAGGGTAGATGCGGGCCTAGTAAAATGGACGTCAAGCTTCCTGGAAGACCGCCAGATACGGATGGTCATCGACGGCTATGATATGGAAGATCACCCTGTACGAACGGGGATACCACAGGGGTCGCCAGTCTCGCCAATCCTATTTGCCATTTACTTGAGCGGAATATTTGCGGAGGTCGAAAGGAAGGGCAAGGAGGTCACAGCAATATCGTACGCGGACGACATAGCTTGGATAGCCACAGACAAGGATGCAGAAAAGGCTTCCAAACGCCTTGAGGAAGCAGCACGTTGTGCAGAAGAATGGGCCTCTCGAAACGCCGTAGAATTCGATTTGGCAAAAACGGAAGCAATATTATTCTCCT